CCCAGCTGGCAGTGCTGTTACGATTCCTGTGGGACAGCGCATAGGCAGCAGAGCTGGGACCAAATGGATGGTGAGGACAGCATCACTTCCTCCAGCCCCACCTGCCTGGAGTGGTGAGCCACTAGACCTTGTAGGTGACTTGAGGGCCAGGGGAGAAAGAGCCCGTGGGAAACCTTGGGAGGAGGCAATTCAGGGGGGGCCTTTCCCCCTGCCGGTCTTTACTCAATTCAGTATTCCGAGCCCCTTTTGAGTCTGCTGTCCTTGGGAAAGGCATCTCACCTCCCTGGGACCTCGATTTCCTCTGCTAAGCCAGGCCAGCATGGTGGTTATGACAACATGTTTTTGGGGCCCAGACTACCTGGGTCTAAATCTCAGCTCCCTTACCTGCGCTTTCTGATTGCGTGTTCCTGGGTAGGGAAGTTTACCTCTCTGAGCCTCAGTTTTTTCATCTGCAAAATGGAGATAACACCAGTACCCACCTCAGTGGTCTTTGCAATGAATAATTAGATGAGCGGTGAGTACAACATACTTTTGGCAGGATCTGGTACACTAAATCCTCAAGGCCCGTTGGCTGTTACGATTATATTATCAGCTGTGAAGGGGCCAGAGGACACGTGCATGCCTCAAGGCAAGGGGCCGGCCCCTGAGCCCCTGTCTCCCAGCTCCCCGCCTGCTGTCCCCCTCAGTCTCTTCAGCACTGAGTGATCGACAGGCTGGGCCGGTGGCATCCTGGCAGGCCTGTCCTGGCAGCTGCTCCCACAAGGCGAGGCCCTTGAGCTTTGGAGAATTAATTAGGCCACATTCCTCTTCCAGTGCTCCCTGCGGGCCTGCACATGGCCCCCTTCTGAGCTGCTGAGGGCTCTTGGCTCAGGTCCCTGGCAGGCGAGATGAGGCCCACACTCTGTTCTCCCCTGAGAGGGGCTGGGAGGGCCTTCCTGAGCTGGAAGCACTTGCTGGCTGTGGAGGGGCCAACAATAAGTCAGCAGCCCAAGGCCAGCTCCTGTCCTGGCTCTCCCCTGCTAGCCACCTTCGCTGGCTCCCCGTCACTCAATTTCAAATCCCTGGCATCGGGTGCCATTCCTTACCTGGGCCCTGCCCATCAGGCCAGCTGCTTCTCTTCGGATTCTTCCATGCTCACACCCTTCCCCCAGCTGCAATGCCCTTTCTGTCATCCCAGCACATGCAAACCCTGCCTATTCTCAAAGCCTCCCTCCCCTCCCACTCCCACCAGCTGGAAGGGCAGCCCATAACATACTCCACCTCCTGTCCCTTTATTTTGCCCTTGTCTGTCTTCCCTGCCAGCCTGTGAGACCCCTGAGGGCAGCAAGTGTGGTTTGAGCCAAAGACATGAAGCGCTGATGGAGGGCACTTCAGGCAGGTAATGGTCTCCTGGGAGGCAGTGCCGAGGCTGTGCCGGGGGTGACAGCTGCTGTGGATCTCCCTGCCTGTAGCCCCTTCCCCGACACCAGGTGCTCAGGCTTGATCTGGTGCTCTGGTGGTCACTGCCCATTCATGCCTGCCCCTCTACAGCCTTCCCCCTGCCCCTACTTCTTTTGCACCCTGAAAGGGGCTGAGAATAGCTCCTTTCCCCATAGAGCCTTCACCTCTGCTGTTTCCTCTGCCTGGAACACTCTTGTCCACCCTCCTCCTTCACTTTACCGATTTCCTTGAGCTTGGTGTAGATGTCACCTCCTTCAGGAAGCCCCCCTGGGTTACCCCAACCCCAGGAGCTCCATCACAGGGTGGATGTACCGTGTCAGAGAGGCAGGGCAGCAGAGAACTTTGAGCCTTAGGTTTAAATCCCGGCTCAGCTACATACATATTAGCTGTGTGACTTTGAGAGAGTTACTTAACCTCTCAGTTACCTCTTCTCTAAAACAGGGATACTATAAGGTGGCTGTGAGGAACCAAGGAATTCATATGCAGAAAGCACTTAGTGAACACTTAGTAAACATTAGCTGTTATTTTAACCTTAATCTTTAACAATGTTTTTTTTCAAAGTCTCTTTTATTGATCTATGAGGTCAGGGGCTATAACTGTCCTGCTTGCAAGAATCTCCAGATAAGTGATTATTCATAATTGTTGAATGAATGGATGGCCACATTCTAATGATTGATTGCCCTGATAGGCAAATGGCTTTTCAGAACTGAAAACATAGCAACCTAGTTTCTGTTTTTGAGGAGAGAGATAGGTAGAGATGAGAGAGAGAAAGGGAAACTAATTTCCATTCAGGGGTTGTTTTGTGAGTGAGTGGGTGGGGGTAGAGGCAGCCAGGGAGGAAAAGTGCCCAGTCTGCAGCGTGGCTATGCACCTGCAGCCCTGGACACGAGACTGAACTCCTTTCTGCCTCAGCGTCCATATGTGCATATAACTGGAATAAACCTGGGCCACTCTCTGCCCCTTCCGGCCTATCTCTGCCTGGTGTTTCCATCAAACGGAACACACGTTTGACTCAAAAAGCCTGGACATAACCTGTTAAGTATTTATGGGAAAGGCAGAAAAAGGCAGGAAAAGGGGAGACTTTGTTCCACAAAATCCAGACAAACACCTTTCTTTCCAGGGTTCCATTTGACTTGGCAGCTGTTCCTCACAAATTTCCCTCTGCTTCTTCCAAACTCTACCCAACGCCCCCATACTCCTGGGGCCCCAGCTACTTGGGATGTGGTCTAGAAGCAGGCACAGACTTCGGGTGTACACAACCCCTTGGTCCTGCAGACTGCTCATCCCATGGAGAGAGGTATGGAGGAAGGCCAGAGCAGGACCCCCTATAGTGCAGAACCCAAGCCAAAGGCCCTCATTTCCAGGGGACTACAGAGTCAGCTTGCTTGCCCTGCTTCCTGGCCTCCTCTCCTCCCTTTAATCACCTCTGTTACTTAATCTTTTGGGTCGCTGATCTCTGAACTCTGGCCAGGGCTACTGGGGCCTGTGCCAAGGGCAGTGAATGCCTGCTTTCCTGGGCCTCCAACACACCCTCAACCAGGACTTCATTATCCCTCTGCCAGGCTCCCGTTGCACCTGCTGCCCTGGGGTTGCCCCAGTCAGCTTCCGGCCCGGCTATTGGTCGTTGCTTTGGGCTTACAAGGGGACGGGGTGACTTTGAATGGCTGCTGGGCTTCCAGGGAGTGAGAGTCCCCTGGCATCAGGCTCAGCTGAGATTTGAGAGGTGAGCTGTGGCCCTGGACTGTGGTAGGAAGTGACTGGGCTGGCCCTGTTACACCAACCTTCACCACCCAGGGTGTACCGTGGACCCTGAGGTCCCTGAAGGCTGGCCATGAACTGACTTCTCTCTCTGCTGTCCCCTCATTCCCTCCTGCTCTGTGCAGGACTCTGATAGCATCTTTCCAAAGGTCTGCTCTGACCAGGCCCCCTGAGCCCACAGACTTTTCGTGGCTTCCCATGGCCCACAAGAGAAAGTCCCGGCTCCTTCCTGTGGCTTCAAGGCCTCTCTGGTTTTATCTCCTGCTATTCCCCCCTCAATATGCTCCAGCTACATGGGGTTCTCCGTGGGAACCTCCTTTGTCCCTCCTACTGTCATACCTTCACCCCTCCTGTCCACTCTGCTTGGAATTCTGCCCCCCCCCCATTTCCTTTCTATTTATTTGAGTCTTACTCATCTCTGAGGCTATGGGAGTAGATTTTGTCTAGGAGCCTTTCTCTGACCATCGCTCTCCATCCGAGCCAGCCCTACTGTCTCTCCCCTCATGTCCTTTTAGCTCTGTGATTATATAATAACCATTGACAGTCTGGCAAGCAGCCTCTGCCTCTTATCAGACCCAGGGCCGAGCCCAGTATGATAACTTATTTATTTAGCATTCACGCCAACCCTACAAAGTAGGGACCATTGTTTCCCATTTTATAGATTTAAAAAAACTGAGGTTCAGAAAGACAGTTTTGTTTAAGGTTACAATGCAGTGCTGGTTTATCAAGTCAATCAATTCAATAAGTATTTATTAAATACACACATGCATATGTACTATAGCTTCTGATTTCAAACCTTGATGACACTATTTACTTGCTGTGTGACCTTAGGCAAGTCAATTGCCTTCTCTGTGCGTCAGTTTCCTCAACTGTCAAGTGGGAACCACAAAAGTACCTATGCCATAGGCTTATTCTGAGGATGAAATGAGTTACTTTGGGTAAAGTGCCAGTGTACTTTAGGAGTTTGGTATTTGTCGACCTATTATTCCTCCATGAGGGGGTTGGGGCTGACTTCATGGCCAACGCAGGATTACGGTAGTGTGTAAATAATTATTTTTCAATTGCTGGTTCAGGCCACAAGCTGCCACTCCCAGCACAGGCCAGCTGGGAGAAAAGAGAACAGCCTGCGCGCAGGGGGATTTGGAAGAGATGGAGGCTGTGGGTCCAGGTGGCTGCCAGCAGAGGTGGCCCTGGGACTCAGGTGGGCTGCTTCTTGGGCCGTGGCAGGATTGGCTAACCCAGTCCTAGAGACCTGGGTTTCTTTGTTCAAAGGAGTGTTGAACCCCCTCTAGCAAGACCCCACCCAAGGCCCACGGTGAGGGACAAGGCCAGGGCCATGCTGTGGCTCCACCATAGTACCTGTTGCTGACCACTAGGGCTGCACACAGCCTTGGAATCTATCCAGCCCCAGCCTCGCTAGATAGATTTGCTCTGGGCCTCCCAGCAGCCCCTGGTGGCAAGGTAGCTGGAGCAGAGGTGGGTCTTGTTTCTTTCCAAACATGCTCTTGGGAAAGGCCTGGCCATCGGTTACTAGCCTGATGGGAACGTAGGTCCTGGAATCCTGGATGTCAAAGCTTAGATGACTGTCTAAGGGTACGTGATAGGCAAAAGCCCAGAGAGGGTGAGTTAGCATCCAGAGATCCCAGCCAGGGCACAGGGAGTGAAATTCAGGGCTCTGGTCACCAGCCCCAGGTCCCTTTCTCCCACCCCCACCTCAGCCAAGAAAAAAATACCAGAGTACCATTTCATTATTTACTACAAACACAAGTTTGCAGGCAAATAATTGTGTCTAAAAAAATACATTATAATAAATAACCGGAATTCTCAAAGTTCTTACAGCAAATAAGTTATATACAGACAGAAGCAGAATAGGCCCGTCTCACCAGGAGTGTTCCGAGAGTATGAGGGTACAAAGACTCTGGGGAGGGAGAGCTGGAACGGACAGATGGGGGGTAGCCAGGACACCAGCCATTTGGCAGACCCATCCAGCCTCCAGGGCTGGCTTAGGTGTGAGCGTCCATCACTGCATGTTACTCCTGCTTTGTAGCCAACGGAGAGAACACCTCTCAGAATGTGGCCTCCAGGTTGGTGAGCTCCCCACACAGTATACTTGCAGCAGAGATGTGGGGCCAGAGGCAGGGTGGGAGGCTGATCAGTAGCCTGGGGGCTGACGGCTTTCCTGGGCAGTGTGATGCTTTGGAGCTGCCTTGAGGGAGGCTCCCCTCATCAGGACGAGGAGGCCAGAGCTTGTGCCAAACCCACAGGTGGGTTTCCTGGCCCAGGAAACAGATGGAGGGTCTCCCTGCCCTGGGCTGCCCCTCTCCTCCCATCGCCACATCGGCTTTCTTCCCAACGTTCCTCCAGCTATCAACACTATCTCTTCTTCCGCCTGGAGTGTGTAGGCCTGGTCATCCTTTTTGCCTCTTGTTGTCGCCTAGCAAAGCAGATCTTGGCAGCAGAAATGTTCCTGGAATTGAGAAGGGTCAGATTAGCATCTCAAGAGATGTGGACAGCCCAAGAGTTCCCTGGGAGAGGCAACAGTAATAGGGACCGCACCCCTTAATCATGGCTGCCCTGGGGTCAGAGGGTGGTCATAGATGACCCTGAAAACAAAGTCTGACCATTAACATCAGGCCAGGCCAGGCCTAGAAGCTTCTCTGCCCACAGGGGCTTTGACAAAGCTGATGTTTAACATCAAATGCTCCCGGAATGACCAGATGGCCACGAACAGCCCAGTGTTTATCTCTCATGACCTGCCTTCCCACGTGTACACCTTTGCTCATGCTGCTCCTTCGAAGCTGTTTCCCTTCCCCTCACCCAAACTCTACCTACTACAATTCCCATTCCTCAAGGTCCAGCTCAAGGTGGTCCAACCCGGACAGATATGGGTCTTAGCTGCCCTTTGAACCTGACTGAGATCTTCTCATGGACTTGTGTCTTCCAGGTGGCCTTGTCCTGGTTCAAAGTCTTCTGGCCTGGGGGCTAGGAAGCTGGCTTCAGTTCCCAGCTGTGGGAACTTGAGCAAGCCTCTCAACCTCTCTGAGCCCCTTTCTGGGTCTGAAGATAAAAACAGGCCTGAACTGTTGTAAGGAGGGACACAGGTTGGCAAAGCAAGCTCTCTGCCCACTCTGAAGACCCATGCACTTGCAGGCTTGTCTTGATTTTTTTTTCATCCTAAGACAGTTTCTAAGTATATGCTGGGTTCTGCCTGTCCCACCACCCTGACTCTTCTCCTATGTTTCTGCCTCCTCACAGAGATGGGAGCCCTTGCGGAGACAGCTGGGCCCCGGCACTGGGTGGCCCCGAGGAGCCATGAGGGACAGAGGTAGGGACAGCTAACACCTTCAGAGCTCCCACTGGGTAGCGTTGTTGCCCTTGTTTCAAAACAGGAAACTAAAGCACAAAGAAGTTAAGTGACAAGCTCAAGGTCATGAAGCTTGTGTGTGGCAGGGCTGGGGTTCCAATCAGGCAGTCCTGGCTCAGAAGCCGCCCCTTAGCCTCTCTGCTATAAGGCCAGATGTGGGGTTCCTGTTCTTGAGTCAGTTTGGTTGGACAAACATTCATGGGCACCTTTTGTGTGCCAGGTCTTGGGTTGAGCCATGTTCAGAGGCCACCATGTAGGGGATCTGGTCTGGCATGGGGGGGGGGGTGGGCTGGGTAGTTGGCTCCTCTAGACTCCAGCATATGGGAGATGCTCGATTCAGACACAGCCTGAATGAATACCTATGGTCCTTCCAGACTCACAAGCCTTCAAACCCTCTAAAAACTCCACCCCCAGGCCTGGTGGTAACAAAGAGCACAGCGGTTAAAAGCATAGGCTCTGGAGTCAGCCAGATGCCAGATTGCTGTGTGATCTTGGGAAAGCGCCTTCACTTCTCCGAGCCTGAGTTCTCTTAATTGCCCAGTGGGGACACAGTCCTGCCTCTTGTAGAGAACAGAGGAAATGTGCAAGGCGCACAGGAGGCTCCCAATCAGTGCAGATGCCCCTTACCTCAGCTGCTGGAGGAGCTGTCCTGCAGTGGTCCACGTCTTGTCAGCCTGGAACCCATCTGCAGGGGACCCAATGCCTGGGATTGCCATGGCTTCCACCCTGAGTGAACAGTATTCAGGCCCAAGTGAGGGGCTGTCCAGGGCCCCGAGGCCACCTGGCTGCAGGCCCAGCCCGGCCCCCACCCCACGCCCATCTGCCCTCAGGAGCAGATCCATTTCCACCCCTGTGCACCTGGCATCCTTCCTTTCCCAGGCAGGGTGGGGGCCAAGGAAAACTGAGCTACCAGGAATGTGTTCTTAGCCTCAGAAACAGGCAGCTGGGTGGCAGGCCTTCCCAGAATCTGGACACCTGCAGCTAAGCATGGCCCCTTGCAGGAGGAACTGAGTCAGAGGTGCAGCTACAGCTTGAGTCTCAGAAGGGGAGTTTTCTTGTTAACCATCATGAGAATGGAAGCTGGGGATCGCAAAGCCAGTATCTGCTTTCCCCCAAATGCTCGAAGTGGAGGAAGGAAGGAACAAAGGTTCCCACCCTTTTGCAGATGGGAAAACTGAGGCCCAAAGAGTTAAGAGAATTGCAAAGGCCCCTCAGCAACTCCGTGGCAGCCCTGAGATGGTGCTAGGCCCTTCCAACTCTAGACGTTACTCCTTCACTGAGAAAGCGCCAAAGTTACTCCCCTGAGCTTCAGGTCCAAATCCAAAGCCCCGTGGACGCCATCAGGCAGAACAAAGCTGAAGCTCAGCTCACCTGAGCAGCTGTGTGGCCTGACAGGACAAGTCCTGCATCCTCTCTGGGCCCGAGCTGCCTCAGCTGTCACCTGGTGAAAATCTCTCCTGCCCGGCATTGAGACATGATGTTCTCAGAAGCCCTCAGGACTGGGCAGTGGGAGGGACTCAGGGGTGACTGGTTCCCTGTAAGAAGGGACACTGCCCATGGACCCAGGGCAGCCTATGAGCCCCTAGGACTCTTCTCTCACTCCCCCATTGGCCCCTCTGCTCTCTCAGACACCCTGCAGTCCATGGCAGGTCCAGGCTGGCTGCACTACTGTTCCCTGAAGACTGGGTGCTCACTTACCAGGGCCTTTGATGGCAGAAGGTGGCACAGGCAGGGTCTCTGGTGCTGGAGCATTCACAGCGCCCTAGCAGAGAGCGGCGCCGACGTCTTGGCGGGTTTCCCAGGCCGTAAGGAGCTGTCTGTCTGTGGGCGGGCAGCCAGCAAGGTAGTGATGTAGGGTGGAGAGAGTGAGAGAGTGGGGGGTGGCGTGTAGGCAGGGAGAGAGAGGGGGGGGGGAGAAAGAGAGAGAGAAAGAAAGAAGGAGGAGAGGGGGAGAAGGAGAGGATTAGATAAATCATGACCACTGGCAAGCGGGGACTCTCAACACTGCACACTGGGATGGCCGCTCATGCCATCAGGGTGGCAGCAAAAGGCGACCAGCCCCTGACCTCAAGAAGTCTCACCACAGGCTCCTCCTTAGGTGCCAAGTAGCCCTAGACAAGACCCAAGACCCCTCCCTTCTCTGGGCCTTTGCCCCCACCCCACTCCCTGGGGGAATCCTCCCTGCCTCTCCCCCCCTCGCAGACAGGAACTTGAGCTGATGGAGCCAGGCTGTGCCCCTGTTCTCAAAGAAGGCACACAGCTTGCCCTGGAGGAGGGGAGGAAACGCCATCTCACAGAGGTAAACACAGGCTCACAGCTAAGCTGCCCCAACCTGGTCCCCATTTGCCTGGAAGGATGACATATGTGTCTTAGAGCTTTGACTTAAAAATGGTAAGTGTGCATGTACATGCGTGTGCATGTGTGTGTGCACGTGGGTGTGCATGTGCATGTGTGGGAGATCAGGTGGGATTGATTTCAGATCAGAGTCGGCCAAGGCAGGCCAAGGGCAGGGCAGGGGCCCTGTGGCCGGTTGGACCGGCACCTTTGGGTGCCAGAGCTAATTTTAGCCAATGTGGTTGGAGTTGTAATGACTCCAGGTAGATCCGGCAGGCAGGGACTGGCAAGGTTCCCACCCTGAGCGAGTGTTTGGATGCGGATTAGCTCCACACACGCTTACGTGCCGGGCTTCTCTTGCCTTTTGCAATTTGGGGAAGGGAAAAAAAAACACAAATGCACACAGAAACTTCAACTTGAAGTATGCACTGGCCCGGAGGCAGTGCGGGTGCAGACAGAACAGACAGCACAGGCCCCCACCCTGGCTCCACCAGGTGACACAGGGCAGGTTTCTCATCTGTCATTTGGGGACAATAGCAGTACCTGCCTCGGGGGAGGATGGGGGTTTCATGAGATGATCGTGCACGAGCCATGCTTGGCATAAGGCCTGGCACAGCCGAGACAAGGGTGCTGTCATTAATTGTATTATTCTTGGAAGGTCATGCAGAGGCAGCACGGCAGAGCGGATGTGAGCTCTGGCATCCACGGGACCTAGGACGGAGCTTCCGCCTACCACTCACTTCTTTCTGTGTGATCTTGGGGAAGGCACCTAACTTCTCTGAGCCTCAGCACCCTGATTGGGAAAATGGAGCCAACACTTTCTTACCAGAGAATTCTCATGAGGCAGCCCTTTATATTGTTCAGGCAGCCTCCACGTGGGAGTGGAAACAATAACTGCTAACTATTGATATTAGCTCAGTGCTCCCATCTGGAGGCCCAGGAAGAGCTCTGCTGTGCCTGAAGTCTCCAGTGTGCCCATAGCCCCCTGCCCCCCACTTCCACTGCCAGCAGCCCCCCCCGAGTCCCCATTATGGCTCACCCAGGGGTATTCACCCAGATGATATCCAGGTGGCAGAAGTAGACGCACTCCTTGTCGAGCCAGGAGCTGCAGGAACAACGCCGAGGCCGAAGGTGGGAGCCTTGGGCACGGGGCGAGGGCACTGGCTGCTCTGGGGTGGCAGCGGCCTGACCCTTGCCTGCACGCACAGGAGGGAGAGAGAGGTGGAGAGGTGGGTCAGGCGCCTGGCACAGCTTAGAGAGGGGGACCTGCCGGGCTCCTCCTGTTGCATAATTGAGGAAGTTGGCACTCTAGCTGCTCAGGAGCTCTGGGCCAGCCTGGGGAAGCCCCAGCAGTCCCGGTGGGAAGGGCCAGCGGCTTCCCTGTGCCTGCAGCACCTCTGCACTTGCAGAGCCCACTGTAGCTGCCGCTGCCGCGAGGCTCCCGCCCCTGTACGCCCCCAGACGGCTTGGGGAGGGGGGGCATCTCGGCCCCGGGGGAGAGACACCACTGAACAGATCCCCAGGAGCTGCTGCAGCAGGCGAGGCCAGACGGCTCACCTTCGTGCAGGGCCAGGAGCAGGGTCAGAGCGATGGAGCACCAGGCAGTGGGCACAGCAACCATAGCGGCGGTGGAGCGCACGTCTGGACCAGAGCAGGGAGCCCGCCTGTTGCCAGCGTCCTGCTGCCAAGCCGAGCGGATAGCTCATTGCTTCGGTGCCCTCGCTGCCTCTTATAACCACAGGCACGGCCCCGCCCCTGCCGTCCAGCCCTGCCCTGCTCCACCGGTGGGCCTGGAGCCAGGGACACCGCCTCCTCCTGAGGTGCCTGGCCCGGCCCCAGCCTCCGTGGTGGGGGGGACAGGGGAGGGGGGAGGGAAGGCCCAGCTTCTCCCTCTGTGCTTAGAGCACCTCCTGAGGCTTCCTTGCAACCCCCAGGGACCCCTCCCAGTCCCTCAGGACTTCCTCAAAGTGTCTGAGCCCCTCCCCAACTCTCTCTGTAGCTGCTCCCCTGGTTCTGCCCAGAGCTAAGAGTTTAAAGGGGTAGCCTGAGAAAAACCCTCCCTCTCCTTGAAGGAGACCCTGTTCTCCTGTTGTCTCCTGCCAGCCAGGTGAGGATGCCCCTTCTCCTGTGTAGGAGGTGAAAAGCCTGCCCAAGGCTGTGTGGCCTTGGGCAAGTCAGAGCCCTCTCTGGGCCTGCTTTTTTCAGCGAAGGACACAACCTGCCCCTGACCTCTGATGAGCCTGGGGCTGCCTCATCCCTGCCTCACCCAGGAAGTGCCCTCTCTTTCCTCCTCCCACCCCAGGGTCTGGGGACAGGAGTTCCAGTCCCTTTCAGCACCTATTTAGCTGTACAGCCGTGGCCAAGGACATCTTTGTTTCCTGCCAAACAAAATCAAAATGGGGTTTTTTCCTGTTGTCTCAGAGGCTCCCTTGAGACTAAGAAGGGGGCTTCAGAGTCCTTGCCAGAAAGATGTGGCATCCACACAAAGCACCTCTTGAAAGGCCTCCTGTCTTGGACACGATAGAGTGTCTTGGCTCACCTTTCTGCTACTTTCTGCTTAAAAGGCCAGGTGGTGGTGGAGGGTGCCCTCTGGGGGCTGGCATTTGGCTTCTGCCCCTCTGCTGGCCCAGACGTGGGACTTGCTGGAGATGCGCTGCTGCTGAGCTGAGCAGCTCGTGGAGCTGGCAGTCCCCCTCTGCTCCTGCCAGGCCTGGCTCAGGGTCCACTTCTTGCGGTGTCTTTGAAGGACCCTGGCTGCAGGCACAACGGGAAAGGCCCTTATTTCTCAGAACTCCCATAGCCCGGGCTCCCGTGCCTGCCTGACTCATGACATTGAGCTTATCTCCCCAGCAATCTTGAGGTCCAGGACTCCAGAGGAGGCAGGGCCTGGAGCCAGCCTGACACATCGCAAAAGCCCTCTGAGGGAGTGGGGGTACGAATGAATAGACGCCTGGCTTTGAACTGGGGAAGTCGGGTTCCCAGGAACCCAGGCTGACCAATTTTTAGCTCCTGTGTTCAGCAGCTCTTTTGTCAGTAGATATTTATGAAGGGAGAGTTCTATGACTAAGAAGCAACAGGCAATGTTGCTTTTTCCTAGAGTGTGTCCAGAGCACGTGTGTGTGGACGCATGTGTGTGTGTGATCCTGGTAGACCTGGACTGAGGCAAAGGAGGAAGAGATCTGTCACTGTTATTATCTTCCATCTCCCAGGCTGGGTCGTGCTGCCGTGGAAGCAGGAACAGACATCTCTGGGCACCTACTGTGTGCTCAGGACACTTTTCATTTCTTCTCCATCACAATCCCGGGAGGCAGTTGCTGTCCCCTGGCTATCAGCTGCACTGCTGCCCAGGAGGAAATGGAGCCTGGCCAAGGCCACACAGCTGGTAGGTGCAGAGCCGGCTCTGGGACTTGGGTCTCAATCTCTCCAGCAAAACAGTGACTCCCCATGTAGTGCTCACTGCCCTCCCCCGCATGGCGCCTCTCTAAGAATTTAGAAGAGTATTTCTGGAATGAGATGAGCAATACTCCCTGTCATTTCTATTAGCCTCTGAGAGAATATAAATATGGAATTAAGCTGAGTTAGGGTGGGGGTAAGGAGACGGATAGAGAATTCAAATTACTGAACCGTAAGGAGAAGAAAGAAGCAAAAACAGGTCAGCGGGGAGGAGGAGGGGGCCGGGGTGGGGAGGAAAACAAGCAGGTAGGGAGAGAGAGAGGGAGGACAAGGAAGCGAGCGAAGCCAGAAAGAAAGAACTGGATTTGAGAAAGGAAAAGAGAAAAGACCATCGGGAGTGAGAGTGAAGGTTCTAACGTGACTAATCTTTACACAAATGCAAAATGCCTGCTCGGGACAATAGGGAACCAGAGGCTTCGAGTCTGGGAAACATAATAGAAGAATTAAACGGACCAGGAGACAGGATCCCTCTCTGGTGTGAAAGGAGGATGATGACAGAGCAGGGGCCACCGCCGGGCCTGGCAGGGTCAGCGCCGGAAGCTGTGCCGACTCCAGTTTCTCTCCTTCCCTGCCGTCAGCTCCAGCTGGTCAAACTGGGCTCTTGTGAAACGGAGAAGCCTACCCCGGAACCTGAGTGAGCCCAGGTCTTAGGGGGTGAAAGCATTCCCGGAAAAGCGCTACCCCACTGGCAAGAGTTGGTTTACAGGTAGAGAAAATTAAGCCGAGTTAAAAATAGCCAGCTCCAGCCCCCTAGGGCTCTTCGCCTGGGCCTTGACAGTCATCACCTCTGCCCCTCCTGGCTGGCCTGGCTGCTTGGTTCCCCTGGCCCCATTGCGCTGGCCCCACCAACTACCACAGCCAGCTGCCCTGCTGCACTCTCCCACCTGACCTGGCCTTGAACCTGGGCTAGTAAAGGCTCCAGGTTCAAGAGCAGGGACTCCCTGAAGGTCACCCTGTCAGGCTTTGGAGGAAATAGTTTTGCACACAAAATAATTTGCTCCACTTCTGCTTGATGCCAGCTCTATCCAAGAGGGAGAGATTTGTGGGGTGGGTGGGCTGGCAGAAGAGGGCGTCTGATGTGTATTTGTGGGTGAGATACTGCTAGAAACTGCCCTCTGGGAATCCTCTCCAGTCCTTCCTCCCTTTTTCTAGATGAGATATCTGAGGTCCAAGAGGAGAAGCAATTTCTTCAAGACAGTGGGGAGACCAGACATGTTCTCTTGGCTTCTAATCCAGCCCCAGCCCTTCCTGCATAGCAGTGGAGCTCTCCCAGTGGTCCAAGATGAGCCTGTGACTCTGGGTCCATTTGGGAAGGGCTGCCAGGAAGGACCAGGGCACTAGGATGGGGCTAGGCCATCTTCCTGCACACCCCACAGCTCCCTCTATTACCCCTGCACTAAGAGTAAATGTGGGTCCCTCAAGCAGCTGTCCAGCATCCGTGGACACTGCGTGGGATGGAGGATGCACAGGCGTGAGGGTCAGATGTCCAGGCGATGTTGTCCCACAGGGCAGGCATGGGCTGAAGCAGGTGCCTAGAGTAGCAGGAGCAACGGGCTTTTGTCCTAGCTCCGCTGTTCATGCTGGGTGGCCTTGGGCAAGTCCTGTCCCTTGGGCAAGTCCTGCTGTCCCATTGACTGTGAAGGGCACTCCCAGCATTGACAGTCTATGACTTTCAGAATCAACCTGATCTGAGTTTAGGGCAACCCGATGTAAGCCCTGCAGACTATGACTGCATCACGCTTGCTCCTGCTCGGGGCTCTCTGCTCTCTCACTTCTGGAAGTGACTGGTTAGTCACTTCCCCCTTGCCACCTGGTCCCTCCAGGTTTCAGGAAGTTTTGTTTGCAGCCTTGATGGAAGGGACACAGTGTCTTGGTCACAGGCACATACCGTGTAGGCAGTTTAGTAGAACGAGCAGCTGGGAAGATGGGGCTGACCAGGGGGAGATGTCTGGAGTCCCAGAGAATGGGGGGGCTAAGTAGGGTTTGGCCCTGAAGTCAGCCTGGGTTGAGGATTTAGGGACTGAGGGGGTTCAGACAGTCCCATCAACACTTGTCCCCAAGGCTGTGGGTCAGGGCTGTCTGCGCTTGGGGCTGGGGCCACTCAGTCTCAGGGCCTCTTTCTGGTGGGTGGCCTGGGCCTCCTGCCATTGGCCACAGCTCACTCTGAGCCAGCAGGGCCTCCCACCACCCACACCATTGTCCCCACACTGGGTCTCTGCAAGGGCAGCCTCAGCCCTGCGGAGCGAGCTCCCCTGGTCTCCACGGCTTCCCTCAGGGGACACCCCCTTACTAGTTCTCCTCCTCCCTCTGCCTTAGCCCATTGGGAAAGACTTATATCTCCCACATAAACTGTGCTTTTACAGGAATAATCCATGTGCCCTGTTGGTTATTAATCTAAGGGTAATCAGAACAGGGTCAGCAAGACCCAAGGAACTGCTGGAATTTCAGCCGAGAGCAGATTTTGTTCAGTCAAGGCATCCTTGTCAAGAGACCATGTGAGTCCTGCTGGACCTCTTGAAATAAGAAAACCAACTCAGGGACTCAGCATCCAGGATGGAAGTCTCTGGAACTCGAGGTTTTTGAGCTAAGGGCCCAGTTCCTTACTTAGCCTTTAAGGGGTGTGGTGGGGTAAACATGCATTTCTTGAATGTTTAATATATTCCAAGCACTGTGATAAGTGACTTATGTACATTATCTCCATTAACTGTCACAGCATACTGAGGGGGTGGATACTATAATTAGTCCCTATTTTATAAATGAGGAAATAGTCTCACAAGTTGCTTAATGTCAGACAGCTAGAAAGTGGCTAAACCAAGGTTAGAGGGCAGATCTGTGTAACCCCAAAGCCCTGGCCCTGAGCCCTGAGTGCCCTCAATGTGCTTTCCTGACTCCCCAGCCTGTGGGGAGCCCTCCTGTAGCAACTCTCCTCCAGGGGCTCCCGCCCTGCTCTGACCAGGAGAGAGCTATGCAGGCTGGGACAGTGGGGAGTCTCCCCCCTGCATCTGTGGGGCTCTCACTCCCACAGCACAAGCACAGCATGTAGTAGCCATGCCTACAAGGCCAGTGGCGGAGGCCTGGTTCCAGCTGTTAGGTAGGTATGGGCAGTCCATTCTTATTCACTGGATATCCACGACTGACCTCGGAGGCACACTAGGCTCATGATTCTCACTTTACAGCAGAAGTCTTTCCAGATAAGATTCTCACTTTACAGATAAGGAAG